GGAGGAGGAGGACGACGAAAACGAGGACGAGGAGGAGGGGGAGGAGGGGGAGGAGGGGGAGGAGGGCGAGGAGAGGGAGGGAGAGGAGGAGGCGGAGGAAGAGGAGGAGGAGGAGGGGGGTGTCAGGAGGCAAATACTGTGAGGTCTTCGTAGGAAGGATCAGGGAGAATTGAGATCCACTTGGGGGCTGCTACGCCAGATTCGGCCGCGGATGAAGCTGGATCAAGCGGGATTAAGCCAGAGTCAGCGGGATGAAGCGTGAAGCGGGATTAGGCCAGATCCTGGATCAAAGCAAACTCAGAATTTGGCACCCTAGAAATTGCATCCGAAGGGGTGGATCGGGGTGATATTGAAGAGCATGCAGCGTGGTGCGTTTCTGATCCATCTGGCTGGCCTCTCTTGCCACTTTTCGTTAACGCTTTGCCGCAGTCGTCCATCCTCCACTCCACTAAGGAATCGTGAAATAAGAGGTCCTTCAATCATGATTTCGTCTAGTGTGGAGTTGTTTAGCAACCCGTCAATCGAGCACATACTCTTCCAGTAGTGAAACATTGGACACTCATTCATTTGAAGCGGGTTATTTTCGTAAGAGGTTCAACATTAGCAAAGACTGATGTAGTAGGCGTTCTGGCAATAAGGAGCACATCATGTGGTAAGAACCACGTCATCAAGGACCCCTTCAATAATGATTCCTTCAACACGGGATACGGCACGGATTCCTGCAGAACGATTCCGGTCGTCAAGACACTACAAAATGATTATTTCGGTGCATAGTCGATTATCAACGGTTCCTGTCGAAGCTATTTCTTCAACAAGGCTTTTGTCAGAAGAAAATCCTACTAGAGGAATCCACACAACAAGGACTACTACTACTAAACTGTCTCTCCGTGAAGAAAAGAAATGCAGCAATCCGCGCAAAAAGAAGCCGAACCACATTACCGTTACTGACTTAACCCTTCTCCGAACAAAAACTACCATAGAGACAACTGTTGAAGTGAGACCGCCAGAAACAGATGCGCACAAACAAAACAAAACGATTGCCCTTGTGAGAGAAACGAAAACAACACACGCACTCCGAAGGATGTCCACAACCGCACTGCTGCAGAGCTTTCCCGCTCGCCTCGCCTCCCCCCGCCCAGATTTCGACTTAGACCAGAAATCCTCTAAGCTTTGTGTTGGCAGAGGTGTCGCACAAGGAGTATGTTTTGGCTGCGGCTTCCTTCGTGGACTTTGAGACTGCCCACGCCAGTCCAGATTCCATCCGTACCCTGCAATCCTTAGCATTTAGTGTAAGTGTATGGGCATCGCACGAATTGTTGGAGTGTTCTGGGTGTGATGTGTTCATGTGTATGATCGAACTCGCAAGCATCGTGCCCCCGCCCTCCCAAGACGGTTTAGATACAGCACGCCCTTCACCATCGTAACGGTGCTCTTCAATCGAGCACATATCTTCCTTCAATCGCCCAATTGCTCAAACAAATAAGCCCGATAACATAACATATGCAGGGTTGCCGCTAGATCAGGTGTCCGATTCCGACCCATACAAACCAAAAACGAGGGCTGTGGGGACATCTGCGGTATGGGGGATGTATTTCTTGTGTGTATCAGGCAGGGCTGCTACAGGAATTCTGTGCGGGCCGGGGCCGACATGGCAGACGCTGCCGCTGCCAAGGCGTGGCGCAGCACACGCCTTCACGAAGCCGCGCGTGCGCTGGCGGGTCGGGCCACGTGCGCAATTATGCGAAGGCCGAGGCGCCGTCGGGGAACCAGCTCTTGCCGAGGGGCCCGCTCCGCAGCCACCGCTGCTCTGGAGCCGCTGGTGGCGATGACGCGGCCGACGAACTGGCGTGGAACCGCTTGCAGATGCGGAGCCGCCGGAGACCTCCTCGCAGCCTGCTCGGGAACGAGGCTCCGGCTCGAGACCTCGCCGGTGGAGGCGGGGGACCCCGCAGGGAGGGGCTTCCGCTCGAGACCTCCCCGCGAGCCACCCACACAAACGAACGAAGCCCCAACTCGAGATTTGCAGGAGCAGGAGCCCGGGGTTCTGAAACCAGAAGGGAGGCTCACATGCGTGCTCTGGCGAGGAGTGGCTACAGCAGGCGGCTGTCTCGTGAAGAGAGGGCCTCAGCGGTGGCTCCGGAGGGCGGCAGGCGGAACGTGGAGACGGGAGCGTGCAGGAAGGAGGGAATGGATGTCGTCCGACACTTCGCAAGTTAAGCCTGGATAAACAAGCCGTCGCCCACCACGTTCCCCCCTACTTCCCCATCCACTTCCACACCTCCTTCCAGCCCTCCACCATGTTATTTGACCCTCATCACTCGCAGTTTCGTCCTTCGCTTCGCCTCACACCTCTTCCTGCTCATACTCTTTGTGCTCACCTCCTTGCCGCGCATTGGCACAGCACACTCGTTGGTGCACCCGTCGTCCTCCCCGTCCTCGCGACAAAACGCTTGCCAGCTCGGGGCGGTGGGCCTCTGGCCAAGAGGAGAGAAAACGAGAAGGAAGCAGGGGCGGGATCCCTGCCCCATGCACGCTCTCACAGGGCTCCACCAAGACATTCACATCCCTCCCACGAGAGGGCGCGCGGCCCTGGCCGCTGAATGCCCCGGTATGCCCACGCGAAGAGTGCAAGACATCTGTCACTGGATCCTGCTGCGTGAATGTGCCGACGTGTGGCCCCAACCCAGAAACACTGAAACGTGCATTGGCTGTCCACCCGCTGTTTCTGCGTAGGGGGAACGCGATGGTGGGATGCCGCCTGGTCGCATTCAAATCACTCCTGTGGTCCACGCTGGCGCAATCCAACGTGCAACCACGCCCACACGAACAAACGGCGAACGACGACAACGAGAGCTCGCCTCGTAGCGGCGCTATCTTCGTCTGCTTGAACGCAGGTATGTACTTCCACACTGGGTCGTCCAAGTCAATGTTCCAGTTCGTGCTGTTTGGATCCTCAGCGTACGTGAGGAAGGCCACTGCCTCAGTTGGAGCAGCGGGGAAAAGGCAAACAGGCAGCGACGAGGGTGCAGCAATTGGGCTGGTGGACGAGAACTGTTCGAGCTATACGTCAGGAGTGCCGCAAGACAGAAAGAATCATAGGAAGGAGGGCCGGAGAGACTGAATGACGGAACGATGGTGGGACGGGTGGAGGTAGAGAGGAAGGGCACTGGAGATGGAGCGAGCGGGCGAGTAAAGAAGAGTGGGAGAGGGTCGGTAAGCAATCGCGTGTGAGCCCTGCCCCTGCAAGTCAGACTTTTGAAAAACCAGCTGGGAGTAAGAACTTGAGCGATCTCTGCACCCAGACGAGCGGCACCGAGAAAAAGGTCTTGCGCGATAGTACATACATCCTCCGGCCGTAAGCTTTTCCCCTTGGGCCCGGAACGACGAATTGAAACCTTGAGCAAACGCGTATAAGGTAACCGCCGTCGGATCCAACGAAGTTCGCGCGGATCCAATTTTGATGATGGTTTTGGTTTCGGTGGATCCGATCTCCGTCCGCGCGGATCAAATTTCCAATTTTCTGGATCCGCGTCCAGTCCCTTTTTTTCCGACGGTTCCGGTTTTCACAACGTCTTGAATGTATAAGATAAGAGCAAACCGGGGAGCCGAGAGAAATCAGATCCGCGGACCCTAGAAACCGCCCGTGTTAAGATTCTACGGGGGAAGGGGGTTCGGCCACCAACTTCCCAGGATGCGTCCTGCCTCCCTCCTCATCCTGCGTCCGCTTGCTTCCGCGGGCCTTTTTGCCAGCTCGCGAAAGGAAGGAGAGGCCATTCCCCCAATGTCTCTCGAAGAATGAGCCGCCCGAACTGCCCTCATCTGGGATAAGTAATAAAGCGTCGGCATCACTGAGGCCGCGGCCACGATGCACTTGGTCATGGAGAACAATCGCATGATGGTGTCCTCCATGCTCTTTCGGGGAACAATCGTACGCTCTGCGGGGCATGCTCAACGGAACTCGACGTACAACGCCAGAGGAGATGTGCTACGACACCCGCTGCCGTACAGACGCACGCTTCGTTTTGCCAAGTTTCTGGTCGCATCGTGTCTAGACGTGTTGTGGCTGGTCACGTCAAGCTACTGCACCCCTCAAAGGCCATACGAAGGACGCGTGAATTTACACTCGAAAACAACACTACACGACAACACACCGGATCCAGGGCTCAATTTGGAGGGCGACAAGTGCTGCGCGCATTGTCCACGAGTGTTTTAAGCGCGCTGCACGCGATACACTGAAGCTAAGCTCACGATCTCGATGCAAGGCAGGCCAAACAAATCCGCAACCAGCTTCTCCTGCTCCTCCTCATCATAGTCGTCCGGCGGGACCTCTTCACAAGGGCGCCGAACTTCGCGCTTCGCGCTGCGCGAAATACGAATAACTTCGCGCTCTCGCGCCGCCGCCAAGGGAAAAGAAAGTGTGAGAAGGAATCGGAGCCGAACCGCGAAGCGCGAATAACTTCGCGCCCTCGAGGGCGCCCTTGCTTCATCCCTCCTTCCCACCCCTTCTCCTCATCCCTCCTCATCCCTCCTCCTCTTCCTCCTCATCCTCATCCCTTCTTCTCCTCCTCAACCTCCGTCCCTACATCTTCTTTCTCCTACTCCTCATGCTGCTGCCGCTCCTCCTCTGCCTCACGCTGCGCCGCGCAGTCGCATCACGGACGAGGGAGGAGAGAAGAGGCACGAGGAGGAGAAGAGAAGAGAAGAGAAAAGGAGAGGAGAGGAGAGAAGTGAAGAAAAGGGAAGAGAGGAGAAGAGAAGCTAGAAGCTGGAAGCCAGACGGCGGCGGAGAAGAAAAGCCAGACGAGGGAGGGAGGGACAGGAGAGGGTCATGAGGAAGGTGACGAGGAGGCGGATGAGAGGGTGGGGAGGAGGAGGAGCAAGATCAAGAGGTGCCTAACTTCACCCCACCTGGACCACCAGCATCGCCATCATGCCCGATCCTCCGCCTGAGACCCCGCTCCACATGCTCCTTCATGCGCGTTGGGCCCTCCCCGCAACGTAACCTCGCGGAGGAGCAAGGGTGAGGGAGAAACGGCGCAAGAGAAAAGGAGGAGAGGCGGAGGTGCAAAGGTGGAGGAAGAGAGATGGAGAAGGGCACAGGAGACGGCCAGAGGATGCAAGGCAGGAGGAGGAGGAGGTGGAGGAGGAGGAGGAGGTGGAGGAGGAGGAGCAGCCAACAACCTAACAGATCTCGAACAACTCCACGCCGCGGGCCCCCGACCAGTCCCGCCCCCCCCCCGCTGGAAGAAGAAACACAGGAAAAAAGACGAAGCAGCAGAAGAAGACGAAGCAAAGAAAAAAGAGAAGAGGACGCAGAAGCACAAGGATGATACACGACACCGTCGTACCAGAGGTGATGACCGCAACGACGCCTGCGCGCCCTGCAACCGCGCGCATGCTCGCAACGTGCCCGTGGCGCGTGGCGCCTGGGGGCGCCGCTTCGACCTCGGGCTCACTCGGAGCGGCGAGAACGGGGCGCGCGAGCAGGTGGCGATATCCGAACCCTGGCCCTTAGTGGGCCCTGGAAACGACAGGGCCGTTTTTTCACCGGTTCCGTTTTGCCGTTTTATTGCCCGTTCCGACGCCGTTTTTTTACCAGTTCCGTCGCCGTTTTTTGACCGGTTCCGGCTCCGGTTCCAATCCTGGAGCCGTTTTTCTGCCGTTTCCGGTCGCCGTTTTTTTGCCGTTTCCATTTTCAAAGCACATTTTTTTGGGAAATGGTGAAAAAACGGCCCTGCCGTTTCCGGGGCCCACAAAGCCCTGGCCCCCCACCAACCATCGATCCATCTTCAGGTGTTCGACGAGGGATCCCTTGTTTTACACAGCCCTGGGCGGTCTTCGGCGGTCTTCTGGCGTTCTTCGGCAGCTTCCTGAAGGTTTTCGGCGGTATTCGCCGGTTTCCTGCCGCTGTCGCCGCGAAAAATTGCGAACTGCCGCCCAGAAACGGCAATGCCGTTTTTTCCCCCGTTTTCGGAAAAATGCCCTCTGAACATGGAAACGGCAACAAAAAACACGGGGACCAGAAACTGCCAGAAAAACGGCTCTGGGATTGGAGCCAGAACCGGAACTGGAGAACAACGGCGACGGAACCGGCAATAAGAATAAACGGCGACGGAACCAGCAACAAAAAACTGCCCTACGGAACCCGTCGTGTCCCTTCCAGGGCCCACGATCGGCGGTGGACAAGCCTCCCTTTAATAAACCTCCCCTTAATGAGAACGGCCTGGGACCGAAACCGACGGACCTGGACCCGCAAAAATGACGGCCGCGACGCCCTCTCGCGAACCAAAAACGGCCAATGCCTCAATCGACGCGTCAGGGTAGCAGGAGGTCGGTCCACCTCCGACACGAGGCTCTGAGCCCCGCCCCCGCCGCCCCACGAGCTGCCCCTGGCTCCTTGGTCGACGAGGGCGGGCGGCGCCCGGACTTCGCCGCCGAAAGGGGGGGGGGTCCTGGGCCTGGCCAGGGCCCCCCCCCTGGCTTACCAGCCTCGAACTTATCCCTATCCCTAAGATTGACACGCCAAAAGGCGATGACAATCTTAGGGGTTCGCCTTCAAAAATTAAGGGAATCCCTAAGACTGGCATCGTGGTGAGGAGATGCCCAGCATAGGGATAGGGATATGTTCCAGGCTGGTAACTGGCCTGGCCAAGACCAGCGCGCTTCCCCCCCCCCCCCCCCCCACAGGGGCGCCCCGACCACGGCCAGTGGAAGCCAAGCGGGGTTACCTCGACCGGCGCCCACGTGCAGATCAACTGGGCAGCAGCCGACAGCCGTGCGGGAGCTGACGGAGCTGCTCTCGCACAAGCGAGAGCCCGATTCGATGCGCAAAGAAGCAGGCAGAAGACCTGCAGCAGGGAAGCGGCCAAAACTAGACTGGAGCTCAGGCCCCCCAGAGAATCTCCACAACCACAGCACATGCACATCGATGTTCGTGGAGTAGGAAGGCGCTAGAGCCGGTCGGAAGAAGCAGGCAAAGACGTGCAGTAGGGAGGCGGCTGACGCCGCGCTTCTTTATTCGCGGCGATAACGGGCGTTATGGGGGGGGTCGGGGGGGGGGCATGGCGTAACTCGGGTGTTGCTAGAAGTACCCCTAGCCCAAGGTACCCCCAAGATTCTTGGGGCCACCCCCAGACGGCCTCCAGGGCCCCCCTCACGAGGCCCAAGGTTGAGCAGGGACCGACCGTCCCGGCATTCCTATAGTCCTACCAGTCCTACCACGAAATGTTCTTAGAACCCAAAAATGTTCTAAGAACCCAAACAACGTTCTTAGAACATGAACCCGATATGTTCAAACAAGACAGGCCCAGCCAGAAATGTCCCAAGAGCAGTTCGTGGGAACCGCAAAAGGTTCTTAGAACATTGTTTGGTGGGGCTATAGGCGAGCCGGGACGCTTCGCCACTGCTTGACAAGGGGCCCCGGGAACCCAAAAAACTGAGCGAGAAGCTGGGGGCAGCTGGGGCCATGGGGGCACTTCTGGCAACACCCGAGCAAACGCCTCCGCCTGCCGTGCGGCTCCGGCACCACAGCAGCGCCCGCGCGCACGACAACGACGAACGACGAGCGACGAGCGACGACGACGACGACGACGACGACGACGACGACGACGACGTTGACGACGACGACGACGGCGACCACGACGATGACTAGCGGCGTGCGACGACGACGACGACGTCGTGCTGTCCCAGCGCCACCACAGCGTCCGTGCGCGCATTCGCCTTGTTGCGAAGTTCGGCCGTCGGACGTGAGGCTGGCAGGAGAAATAGGGGCCAGGGAAGAAGGAATAAGAATGGGGACAAGAGGGGGGGAAGTAAAATGGTAGCGCTTCCGTGTGCACCACAGTGCCTTTGCGCACGAGCCACGACCAGGGGCCGCGAGCCACGACTAGCTCAGAACCATCTGTGTGTACCACAATGCCTGTACGCACCATTAGGCCTGTGTGCACCTCTGGGACTCGGATATACTCAAATTCAATATACGAGTTGATTGTGATTCCTCACCCACAGGTTGAGCTTTTAGATTTCAAGGACATGCCCCCCGGCCGACCCCACCCTGCATACAGCGGCCACCAGACCTCAGGTTGTCCCGATGATCCCCGAGAATCCCAGGTGTCCCGCCTCGCGCCAGGCCAACCCCACCCTGCATACCGCGGCCGCCAGACCCCAAGTTGTCTCGATGATCCCCGAGAATCATGGGTGTCCCCCCTCGCGCCCAGCCAACCCCACCCTGCATACCGCGGCCACCAGACCTCAAATTGTCTCGATGATCCCCGAGAATCCTGGGTGTCCCGTCTCGCGCCCAGCCAACCCCGCCCTGCATACCGCGGCCGCCAGATCCCAAACTGCCCCGATGATCCCCGAGAGTCCCAGGTGTCCCGCCTCGCGCCCTCGACGAACATGACAAAATACAACATAACAGAACAGAGCATGACAGAACGGAATAGAGCATGACTCATGACAGAACACGACAGAACATAACATATCAATATCATGAAACAGTAGCAGAACATAAAATCACAGAACATGCCACTGCACAACAAGACATAACACAAGACGACATAACACAACATGACATAACACAATCGAGCACAGCGTAGCACACCTAGACAAACCGTTTCATTCACATCACGACACGGCACCACAGGTCAGATCAGGCCACGACGGCAGAGCACAGCGACGGCGAACACGATAGCACACAGCATGACACAGCGGAGCACGACGGAACGGCACGCGAACACGACACAACAGGACAGAGCACGGCACATGCAACGGGCGATCACACAGCATGCCAGAACACACGCCGTGACACCCCTTGGCACACGTCACGACGGACGCCGCCAGAGATCCCAGACTGCCCCGACGAGCTCCCCCCGAGGGCCCCCCCCATGGGTGCCCCGCCTCGGGCCCCCGGAGAGAGCACGGCAGAGCACGGACAGGGACGGAACGGAACAGGACGGAACGGAACAGAGCAGATGACCCGAGCGTATTCTCTGGGGGGGAGGGCTCAGGGTGAGGGGTCCTCCTCCTCCTCCTCCTCCTCCTCCTCCTCCTCCTCCTCCTTCCTCCTCCTCCTCCTCCCCCTGGAGGGCTCGGGGTGAAATCCATGTGGGCTCTTGCGCCTCGAGCATCGATCCGTCTTGTGGCTCGCATCTGGCAGGGTTCAGGCCTCGAGAGTCCATCGACACACCGTTTCGGATGTCGCCCGTGGCCCTCCAACCAAAGAAAATGCTCGGATGGCAGGGCGTGAAAGAACAGAACAGACAAATGCCAGGGCACAATAGCAGAACAGAACATCACGGAAGATGCCAAGACACAACATGACAGAACATAAGACGACAGACCACAGTACACCATGACACAGCCGAGCATACCATCACGCACCTTGACATACCGTACCACATCTTACCATGTCAGCATCACATAACACAGCATAGCACGACAGCAAAGGACTGCGACGCATAACTGCATAACCCATCATACTGAACTATACTGAGCCGAGCTTCCAACCGCATCACGGAACAGGGGATATCACATCATAACCTGACTTACCATATCGTGTCAGATCATAGTGCCACAGAACAGATCATACGACAATAGATGAACGAATATGGTGACAAGGATGAGCAAACCATAACATACTCAATCAGAAGAGAAACATATAAGTGACAAATAACATCATACCAGATGGCGCATCAAACGTCACAGACGTCACGACGTCACACCGGCCCGTCGAGAACATATCAAGACATAATAGAGCATAAACTGAAAGAACGTTGAACCGTTCTTGAGTCCACAAACGGCAAATATCGACAAATTAGACAACCGCGCGCCGTCGGGAACGAACGCTAAAAATATCGGTTGAGATCGCTCAAAGCATGATAATTATTGTTTTTGTTCTTGCCCTGCGTGCACTCGAGCACTTTGAGCCCACGACGTCTGTGCACGCCATGACCACTGCGCGCGCCACAGCACCCGTAAAAAGGAATGGACAGGAATGGGGATGGGGAGAAAGACAGAGGGGGAGGAGGAGGAGGAGGAGGAGGAGGAGGAGGAGGAGGAGGAGGAGGAGGAGGAGGAGGAGGACGAGGAGGAGGAGGAGGAGGAGGGGAAGGAGGAGGAGAAGAAGGAGAAAGAGCAGGAGGAGGAGGAGTTTCACCAGGAACACTAAGTCACAATTTCGGATCCCTGTGCGGATCCCAGTGCGGATCCCTATGCGGATCCCTACGCGGATCCCTAGGCAGATCCGTATGTGGATCTCTGTGCGGATCCCTATGCGGATGCTTATGCGGGTCCCGATGCAGCTCCCGATAAGGATGCCTATGCGGATGCCCATGCGCATTGCCATGCAAATCCCTATGCGAATCCCTATGCGGATCCTTACGGGGATCCCTATGCGGATCCCTGTGCGGATGCGCATGCGCTTCCCTTTGCGAATGCACATGATATTCCCAATATGGGCCAGACCCTTATGCAGACTCCTATGCGGACGCCTTTGCGGATCCCGATGCGCATGGCGGCAATGCCCGGGGCGCACTGGGAGGGGAGGGCGTTATTTCATGGGGGGGGGGCAGGAGCCATAACGTCGGCTACGGTAGAGGGAAACAATTAGTGAACACCCCCCCTGCCCCCCAAACTCAAAGTTGGCACGCGCGGGGGGAGACTGCGGTCGAGGTGCAACTCATCAGACCCACCACCAACTTTGAATATTGGGGGGAGGGGGAGGCGTTCACAGATGAATGTGGCATGAGTGTTCGCTAGTTTTGTCCCGAGGCCTGTGTGGCCCAAGCAATGAAGAGGCACGCTCTAAAGTAGATTTGGGCTCAGGCCCTCGCAGAGAGTAACAAACCACAGCCCAGGCAGATCGATTCGTGAAGTAGCAATGCGCTTGAATAGAAGAACAACAGGCAGCACAAACATAAACTTGTGACGGTCCGCGCGGAACGCAAACAGAGCATGTGTACGGGATCTGGGTATCCAGAGATACCTACGTTCAAGGACCGACGTGGATAAGAGGGAGAGGGAGAAGGAGGGAGTGGCGGAGGGCACGGGACGAGAGCGAGAGATCTGATCGCCCCCACCTGGCCCCTCCGCCCCGGGCGGTCCTGCTGCATCGGAACCTTGTTCTCGATGTCCGCGTACCCCATCTGAGGGCAGTTTCGTTTCTCAGGGGCCTAAGGACACACACACACACACACACATACATACATATATATAAAAAATACACACACGTAACAGGATTCCCCATATTTTCCCATATGTTCTAGGTTGTGATTATTCCCCCCGACTTTCTATATTTTCCGGGGAATCGACGATTAATTGTGTCTGTGTGTTTTCCTTCCTGAGTTTCTTGCTCCTAGAGGAAAACGTAACTACATAAACAAAAACTTTCGCTGGTCGACCCAGGGGCGCAGGGAGGTGGCGACCACTGTGCGCTTGGAAATACGGTGAGAGCATCTTGGATGAGGAAGCATTGGATACAGGCGGACTTGATTGGACAGGACACGCGACAGGACATAAGACCCTTCCGAGGGCCGCATTGCAATAGGAATGTAGGAGGCATGGGTCGCGAGACACAGGACACAAGGGTACCCTTGATTTGGCAAGGTCGACCTCCTAATCCGGGCCGACTGTAAGGAATCCAGGGTCTGGAAGCCGGTGGAACTCCAATCGTGGATCGGCCATGGAGATCATCGCCGCCCCCAGTAGGGCAGGAACCATCCAGGGTCTGAAGCCTGAAGCCTCTTGCAAATATTCCTTCACGAACGCTCCCACCGTACCCAAGGGACCGATGTATCATTTAGCTTCGCGTTTTGCGTGGTTCTGCTGAACCACCGAAGGCCACATGACGTTGCAACGCCTGTAGGTCTCGCAGTACCCATTGGTGAAAAGAGGGGAGGAGGGAAGAGGGGATCTGCGGAGAGATGGGAACAGAGAGGGGATACGAGGTAGGAGGCGGGCTGAATAAAGGGGCCAGTGGTGGTGAACAGCAACTGGTCAGTTCAAGACGAGGATCAGACAACATGACGTGCTGGGAACACACGGCTCGAAATGTACGGTCTGCCTTAGTAGACCCAAACTCCACGCCCCCTCCCAACCTCTATGACCCCCGCTGCCCCTCCCAGGACTTACAGCCTTGGCAAAAATGCGCCGCAGCCTACTTGCACTGCGCTTGTTCCATGGCGACGTCGCACGCAGGTGATCTCGCACTCATGCGTAGCCGAGGTTGCACTCCTTCCCTGTCGCTCCAATCCCTCTCCTCCTCATGCTATCCCCCTCTTCCTCCTTCGCCCCCTCCCCGTCTCGTCCTCCTCGTCGTCCTCGCCATCGACATGCCGCGCGGCCTTTTCGAAGTACACGAGCTTGCCATTCTTGACCACGCCGCCGACAATGCCGCCAAAGTGATTCCTTTTCACCTCGGTCTCACGTGCCGGCGCGCGGGGGGGCGAGACTGGCCGAGCACGTTGCCGCCAGACCCGATACCTTCGGCTCGGTGCGCATGTCAGCTACAGTCGGGCCGTTGACCTAAGGAACTCCAAATGAGGAACGAGGCCCCTTTTTCCCATCAGTTAAAGTTCGATGTCCCATCGAAAACCTAAGGAAAACCTAAGGCAAGCTGTGAAACAACCAAGGAACACGGAGCCCCTCCCCAACGAAAAGGGTTCCTTCTTCAGCGCCCCGACTGTATACCCCGTGCCAACACACACACACACACACACACACACACACTGAAGATCTGCAAGCGGAAAGGGGGGGCACATGGTCTTGACAGAAAAACAGTGCGCGTATGCGCTCCAGGTCAGTGAGAAGTATCCCGCGCGGTTCTGCGCTGTCCCTGCGCGGGTTTGTCTTTCCCTGGGCCGCCCTTGGAGGCCACGCTTTGGGGCCACATTTGTGAACCGCGCTGGGAGGCCACGTTGACAATGCTGCACCCTCTCTTGCCCGCAGCTGCGGGGGCCAAGGTGCACGTGTCAGTTTTCTGAGAGGGGCAAACGCTGCGCCAACGCGCAGAGAAACGACATACCTAAGTCGAACAACAAAAAAGCGCAGAGTGAAGACAGGGAAACAGAAAAGGACAGGAGACGAGGAGGGGGGGAATTTGGAGGAAGGACAGGGGAGAGGTGGGATTATGAATGCGGAGGATGGAAGAGAGGGAAAGGGAATGTGGAGGGAGGATCGGGAGAGAGGGAGGAACGGAATCCGAATCTACCTCATCGACCCCTGAACATACCAAAAGCCGATCGTGGACGACTGCTGCCGATCTCGCTCGAGCACTGAAACGCCACAATGAAACAAACTTCGTTGAAACGACACCGTGCTGGCCCCATCGAGGGCGCTGGTAGGACCGACACCCTGGGGCCAGGGGTCCCCCCACTGACTGAGGACACGCGGCTGCCCCGAGCCGAAGGGGGAGGAGGAGAAGGACGAGGAGGAGGAGGAAGGCACGGGGGTCGGAAAAAGGCGGAGGGTGGTGGTGGTGGTGGTGGTGGTGGTGGTGGTGGTGGTGGTGGTGGTGGTGGTGGTGGTGGTGGTGGTGGTGGTGGTGGTGGTGGTGGTGGTGGTGGTGGTGGTGGTGGTGGAGGTGGTGGTGGTGGTGGTGGTGGTGGTGGTGGTGGTGGTGGTGGTGGTGGTGGCTTCGGTAAGCGTCGGGTGGGGCCGCGGGCACAGCCCCTGCAGCGGTACCTCTCACGCAAGGGTGGCTGGGGGACACTGCGCCTCCTACCGCGGGGGCCGAGTATCGCAGCGGCACGCTGCCGCTCGGTCCAGGAGCCTACCGGGGGGAGGGGGGGCCTCCCCATGGGGCCAGCAGGAAAGCACGCCACACTGGCTCCTCATACCCAAAGAGCGGGAACCCCCCGGGAGCCCCCAGAACAGGAAGCAGCTGCAGCTGGGATCCCCACCCGGGGCGCGGGGGACGAAAAGGATCCCTTCCCAGGGGGGGGGGCCCAGCCGCCTTCCGTGCCACGAGGACGCCACCTGACGCGCGAGGGGGGATGGGCTGCGTGCGGCGTGAGAGCTCCCGCTCAGCGCCGCTGCGGGGCGATGAGAGCAGCCTGGAGGAGGCCCTCCCCAGAGGGTGCGGCCCCCCCGCCCCCGACCCCAGCTCGGCTGCGGGACGCGGCCCCGCCTGCGGGGGGGGGGGGGGAACGGGGAGGCAACGGCAGCGGGCGGCGGCGACGCCGACGACGACTCCCCGCGCGTGCCCCGCTCGGCGAAGGGGAGGTGCCCTTATGCGCAAGCCCTGCGCCGCGGCCCGGCCCCGCTCGAGCGGGCCCGCAGGGCGTGCACAGGGAAGATCGGTATACCCAGCCTCCGAAGGCCCCCCCGAGCAAGAGAGAGCTTCAAAAACATCCAGAAAGCCCCGGCGGATGCGAGCGCACCCCTGGGGGAGCCCAGCCGAGAGCCTCGTCGGCGAGGCGTCCGCCATCTCACCCGGTTCTCGGGCGCGCTCCGACCGCACCCCCGGGGGGGCTCCCGGAGGAACCCCTCGGCGCCTGGAGGCGTCGGGGAACGCCCTGGGGAAGCCCACGGGGGGCCCAACCCCCGAGACCGGCACAGAAACGACGCACCTCCGGCACAGATCAGCACCGATGTGCGTCGATGCTGTATCAGTCTGCGTCGGCCCTGGGGGCCCACGCAGGGGCCAGCTGGGGCCTCCCAACGACTAGCTAGCACACTGCTCACACCTGCCCCTGCTCACCGACGATCCGCAGCGGCATGCTGTCCCGCAGGCTCCGCGGAGAGGGCGGGAGGGCAACGACCATCCCAGCCAATCCAGCCCGGCACGACCCCGCCCCGACGACGGAAGCAGCGATGGCGGCAGCAGCTGTATGTGCACGCCATCAGGTCTCATCCGACCCAGGACTGCCGCAGCTGCCTGTCTACGCTCGCCGCGAGTGGAACCGCCTCGGCGCACCCTGCCTCCCCGGGCCTGGGAGACAGTATAGCAGCAGTCTGTCGTGGCAGCAGCTGCATCTGCACGCCACCAGGTCTCATCCGTCC